ATTGCTGGGTCATATGGCAGTTCTATTTCCAGTTTTTTAAGAAATCTCCACACTGTTCTCCATACTGGCTGTACTAGTTTGTATTCCCACCAACAGTTTAAGAGGGTTCCCTTTCTCCACACCCTCTCCAGCATTTATTGCTTGTAGACTTTTGGATAGCAGCCATCCTGACTGGTGTGTAATGGTACCTCATTGTGGTTTTGATTTGCATTTCTCTGATAATGAGTGATGTTGAGCATCTTTTCATGTGTTTGTTAGCCATCTGTATGTGTTTCTTGGAGAAATGTCTGTTTAATTCTTTGGCCCACTTTTTGATTGGGTCATTTATTTTTCTGGAATTGAGCTGGAGGAGTTGCTTGTATATTTTTGAGATTAATCCTTTGTCTGTTGCTTCGTTTGCTATTATTTTCTCTCAATCTGAGGGCTGTCTTTTCACCTTACTTATAGTTTCCTTTGTTGTGCAAAAGCTTTTAAGTTTCATTAGGTCCCATTTGTTTATTTTTGCACTGTTGATTTTTAATCTGGTTTTTTCATTTCCATTTTCTTCTAAGGGGTTTAGAATTAAAATAATTAAAGTTTTCCTTCCTGATATTGATGTTTTAGATGTTTTAGGATATTTTGCAGAAATATTTGTTTTTCTCACTGTTTATGGGTTTAACTATAATTAATAACAAATAGGTTTATGATTTATGGATTCCCATGGAGAATCCATGTGAGAGAGAAGGACAGCACTTGGAGTCTGTTTTTTGCATAAAAATCTCAGTTCAAAAACTGAGAACCAAAGAGAAAATGAATTAGAATATGACAATAAAATATACCCTCTACTGTGATTCAGTCAGTTCAGTCATTCAGACATGTCCAACTCTTTGTGACCCCATGAACTGTAGCATGCCAGGCCTCCCTGTCCATCACCAACTCCCAAAGTTTACCCAAACTCATGTCCATTGAGTCGGTGATGCCATCCAACCATCTCATTGTCTGTCATCCCCTTCTCCTCCTGCCTTCAGTCTTTCCCAGAATCAGGGTCTTTTCAAATGAGTCAGCTCTTTGCATCAGGTGGCCTGCCATGATTGGGAGTCTTTATTAAACTCCATGCTCAAAGGCTAGTTTATTCTAATTCTATTCAAACTTCGGTGGATCTTGTTAGATCTTATTTTTGTTTCAGTGGATGTGGTCCCAGGAGCATGATTGAATTTCTGTATCCCTGAACTGGATTTCCCTGGTGGCTCAGTAGTAAAGAATCCACTTGCCATCACAAGAGATGCAGATGTTATCCTTGGGTTGGGAAGACCCTCTGGAGTAGGAAATGGCAGCCTACTCCAGTGTTCTTGTCTGGAAAATTCCATGGACAAAGGAGCCTGGTGGGCTTCAGTCCATGGGATTACAAAGACTTGGACATGGCTGAACACACACACACACACACACACACACACACACACATGACTTTAGACTTTCATCTTTTTCTTAGAGAGTCAAAACAGGTATTGCTAAATATGAGAGATGAAAGCTAATTCTCTTTGTCACTGTATAGGGATTTCCCCCCCTTATATACAGTCACTTTAAGGTGTTTGAACAGAGTAAGATGTGTTGCTGTGAAAAAAAATTACTATTTTGGGCATTAGAAGATTTGGATTCTTGTGTTCTATGGATCAGTTAGCTATGTTTCTCTCTGGGTCTCAGTTTCCTCATCTTTAAAGAGGATCAGGACACTTGGTCCCATCACTTCATGACAAATAGATGGGGAAACAATGGAAATAGTGACAGATTTTGTTTTCTTGAGCTCCAAAATCACTGCAGATGGTGACTATAGCCATGAAATTAAAAGATGCTTGCTCCTTGGAAGAAAAGCTATGACCAACCTAGATAGCATATTAAAAATCAGAGACATTACTTTGCCAACAAAAGTCCATCTAGTCTAAGTTATGGTTTTTCCAGTAGCCATGTATGGATGTTAGAATTGGAACGTAAAGAAAGCTGAGTGCTGAAGAATTGACGCTTTTGAACTGTGGTGTTGGAGAAGATGCTTGAGAGTCCCTTGGACAGCAAGGAGATCTAACCAGTCAATCCTCAAGGAAATCATTCCTGAATGTTCATTGGAAGAATTGATGCTGAAGCTGAAATTCCAAAACTTTGGCTACCTGATGCAAAGAACTAACTCATTTGAAAAGACCCTGATGCTGGAAAAGATTGAAGGCAGGAGGAGAAGGGGACAACAGTGGATTATATGGTTGGATAGAATCACTGACTCGATGGACAAGAATTTGAGCAAGCTCCAGATTTGGTGATGGACAGGGAGGCCTGGTGTGCTGCAGTCCATGGGGGTCTCAAAGAGTCGGACATGACTGAGCAACTGAAATGAACTAAACTGATGAGATTATAAAATGCAAAGTACTGGGAGATTTTTTGTTTACAAAATTCTAGGTCTTGTCCAATCGACCCTGGATCCCATTAATATCTTTCACTATATTTCGTAGGTTAGCAAAAGAACTGCCATAGATTTCATGTGGTCACTGGTGGCCATGTCTAAACTCTGGCATTTCTGATTCCCAGAAGTAAACTGGATTCCTCCTGGAGAGGCACTCAGTGGTAAAGAGCTAGAGACAGAAATCCTGAATTTGAATACAGTCTTCTCTATTTGTTTTTTCATCATCATTACTTTGGGCAAGTCATTTATCTTCTTGTAACCACAGTTTCTTCTTCTTTACAATACAGACAACCATATACCAACCTCACAAGGATCATTTGACAGACCACGTACATGTAAAGTATTTAGTATAATGCCTAGTACATTGTGAAACTCACAAATTTGATAGTTATTATAGAAATGCCATTGTGTAAAAAATAAATCTCTGCATTCTATAAAGATTGAGAAAAAGCAGGCTTATAGTAAAAGTGTATTTCCCAATATTTGAGTATACTGAATGTAAGCAAGTAACAAAGATTTCCCTGCTTAAGAAGTAATGTGTCTGCTGAAGTTCTTACCTCTCAATTGCAGTCTGGGTGCCATTTTATGGCAAGATTATTTTGCTGTCCATAACTTTTTTCCATTTCTCATTTTTCCAAAATTATGAGTATTAGAGAATATGAGTGGAAATAGGAACAGAATTGGTCTTTGAACTAAGACAAAAAAAAAACCCCTGAAAATTATCCTGTGTTTGAGTCTATCAATTAACAGAGGACATCAAAAATGTCCACTGAGCTCTTTTGCATATGAGTTGGTTATTGTGTTGTGTTGGATAGAAGGAGCTGATATAAATTGTAAAAGAGAACTGTTTTAAAACTAATTGCTTCAAAGTTTGCAAGAAACTGAAATAATAAGTGAAATAATGAGGATGAATGGGTTAAGTTCGGAATTTTCTGTCTGATTTTGATCATGAAATCCAGCCTTTGGTACAGACCATTGGGAAAGTATGAAAATATATCAGTTGGTTCTTGGTTCTCCCAGGTGCCATCTTCTCTAGAGAAGAGTTGGCAATTAGAAGTGCACACAGACTTTCTTCTCAAGTGTTCTTGTCCCTGGAAGGATTCTCTGATGCCCTGGGCTATTCAGAAGGGAGCCCACTAAGGGGGCTTGGAACTCTAAAGGTAGCTTCTCAACAAAGTTTGTGGGATCACCTGGAAGAGTTCCCTGATGCAGAGAATCTGGGGCTTCCCTGGTGGCTCAGATGGTAAAGCATCTGCCTGTGATGCGGGGGTCCTGGGTTCAATCCCTGGGTCTGAAAGATCCCATGGAGAAGGGAATGGCAACCCACTCCAGGACTCTTGCCAGGAAAATTCCATGGACAGAGGAACCTGGTAGGCTACAGTCCATGGAACCACAAAGAGTCGGACAAGATTGAACAACTTCACTGGAAAAGTTACCTCATTATGTACCTTGCCCACTTGTAACATAGATAATTCATTTTACCCTTCACTGCCTATTTGCTTTTAAAATACATAAATATAAAGAGAATAATGAACTCTTAGTTATTGTAAAATGAAAAGATTAATAATTACAATACTTAGTTGTATGTGTGCATGCTAAGTCATTTCAGTTATGTCTGACTCTTTGCAATGCTATGGACTGTTGCCCACCAGGCTCTTATATCCATGGGATTCTCCAGACAAGCATCCTGGAGTGGGTTGCCATGCCATTCTCCAGGGGATCTTCCCAACCCAGGAATCAAACCCACATCTTTTTTGTCTTCTGCATTGGCACACAAGTTCTTTACCACTAGTGCCATCTGGGAATCCCACTTAGTTATATATATTACCTTAAAGTTGACTTGACTAATACATGTATTCCTCATCAAGGAAATTGAAATAGACTTTGCATTACAGTGATCTGGTTGATGACTGAGACTAGGCTTATTACTTGTTAGCATTAATGGCATATGTTAAAACTAGTGATCAATAATTTTTAGATGGTAGACTAAAGACAGCATCTAGGATGATTAAAAGTGGTACCTGGGGCAGCTAGGGCAAGCTTACCCCTGCCCTGATCCTCTAAAGCTGTTAGAGTCAGCGAGGCCCTCATTCTATGCTCATTTAGTGAACTGATAGCAGTAACTTTATGAGTACATTAAAGCAATTTCCTCAAATATTAATATATTCAGATCATATATTTTTGGGGTCCCACAATATACCGGTACACAACTTCCTATGTTTCTTTTCCCATACATATACCATTCAATTAAAAAATTCATTGTTTCAACCTAAGGCCTCCAGGAAAAAAACATGTAAGTTATATTTATTTTCTGATTAAAATTAGTAATGTAATCTTCAGAATTTTGGAAAATACTAAAATATGTAAAAAAAAAAATCTAAGAGAGTCAACTAAAAGAAATTTTGGTGCATGGGTTCCTAGACAGTTTGGGGAAAAGAAGGAATCATTTGTGATATTGTCAGAATACTATTAAAAGGTAGCATTTTGCAGTAATTCATTCTTTTATATTCCCTTTTCCTTTTTTTCTTTCTTAAAAGTGTTCCTTGCCAGTGTTTACATTACCCACACCACATAGATGCGAAATGAAAGGAATGTGACTGTGTTCATTCTAGTAGGTCTTACACAGAACCCCCAAATGCAAAAAGTAGTGTTTGTGGTGTTTTTGGTCTTGTACATGGTAACCCTCTCAGGCAACCTGCTCATTGTGGTCACCATCACCACCAGCCAGGCTCTGAACTCCCCCATGTACTTCTTCCTGACCCACCTTTCCTTGATAGACACAATTTACTCTTCTTCTTCGGCTCCTAAGTTGATTGTGGACTCCCTTCATGAGATCAAGACAATCTCCTTTAATGGCTGTATGGCTCAAGTCTATGCAGAACACGTTTTTGGTGCTGCTGAGATCATCCTGCTGACAGAGATGGCCTATGACCGCTACGTGGCCATCTGCAGACCTCTGCACTACACGGCCATCGTGAGCCGCAGGCCGTGCCTCCTCCTGCTGGGGGTGGCCTGGACCGGGGGGTTTCTCCACGCCAGCGTTCAGATCCTCTTTACAGTCCGGCTGCCCTTCTGTGGCCCCAATGTCATAGACCACTTCATGTGTGACTTGTACCCTTTGTTGAAGCTTGTCTGCGTGGACACCCACATCCTTGGTCTCTTTGTTGCTGCCAACAGTGGGTTCATCTGCCTGTTAAACCTCCTCCTCCTGTTGGTCTCCTATGTGGTCATCTTGTGCTCCCTAAAGAACGGTAGCCTGGAGGGGAGACGCAGAGCTCTTTCTACATGTGTCTCTCACATCACTGTAGTTGTGTTATTCTTCATGTCCTGCGTGTTTGTGTATCTTCGCCCAGTCGCCACTCTGCCCATTGATAAAGCTGTTGCTGTCTTTTACACTATGGTGGCCCCTATGTTAAATCCTTTAATCTATACCCTCAGAAATGCTGAGGTAAGACGTGCTATGAAGAAACTCTGGAGAAAGAAAGTGACTGCAGATAGTGATTAAAGAGATTCACTGAGCTTTATAGATAGAAGTAAAACAGATAATCTCATCCAATCCTCTTGATCTATAGATGAAAACATTGACTCTAAAAGGGACTGAATAATAACTGCAGATAGCCCTGAATGATGGAATAGCCTGGCATGCTGCAGTCCATGAGGTTGCAAAGTATTGGACTTAGGGACTGAACAACAACTTAAGCACAGACCTTGTTTAGACTGGAATCCAGGTTTACTTTCTCCCATCCCAGACTCTCCTCATCACAACTTAATGCTTTTTAATTAATATTTATCTTTTATCTGATTATCTCAAATGTGTTCAGAAGTTACAAGCTAAGAACCCAGAATATTGGATTGGTATTCAAATTGTCTTATTATGTAACATGGAGATGTTGGTTACCACCAATTATTGAAAATAAAATGTTAAAAATATTCATTTGTTTTGAACTCAATATAAATTTTTTTGTGGAATTTTCTTGTTCATTGAATCTTTGTTGTGCAGTGAAAAGAAATAGTATTTCTTAAATGCTTATAAGACTGGCATTGTGTTTGTTATTTTACATATGGTATCATTTGAAGTCCAGCCAGGAGACAGACCACAGTGCAGTTTGAATAGAAAGAGTTCACATACAATAAATGATTGTATCAGGGTATTAACTACAAAGGGCTTCCTTGGTGGCTGGGTGGTAAAAATTCTCTTCCCAGTGCAGGAGACATGGATTCGACCCCTGGGTTTGGAAGATCCCCTGGAGAAGGAAATGAAAACCCGCTCTAGTACACTTGCTTGGAAATCCCATTGACAGAGTGGCCTGGTGGACTGCAATCCATGGAGTTGCAAGAGAGTCAGATACGACTTAGTGACTAAATGAAAACAGCTATTAATTATAACAGGGTGTAATGAGCTCTCTAAAGAAGGACCTGGGGCTGAGAGATGAATTTACAAGGAAGTAACATATTTAGAATGTTGGGATTCTAGTCTTATGGAGAAGGTGTAGTTGTTGCCCATTGAATGGTGGAGAAACTTAACTGGATTGCCTTGGGCAAGAAATAATTCACGACGGCTGAAGAGAGACTGGCAGGCATGAAATGTTTCTGGGGCTGGCGAGATGGAGCCTTTTACTGCAGTGCTGGTTGGCTAAGGCTCATGAACAAGGAACTATGACCTTGAGTGGCAAGCAGAAAAACCCATTTTAGGTGTAGGTGGAGCAAGTTTGGCAGAAAACACAACCCACTCCAGTATTCTTGCCTGGATAATTCCATGGACAGAGGAGTTTGTGGGCTACAGCCCATGGGGTTGCAAAAAAGTCAGATAACACTGACCAACTAGCCAAGTGATCACTGATCTCATTAATCCTTTCAGTAAAGATGCACAAACAGAGATGAACAATCACTTGCAGGTGGTTATTTTAGAACAGATTTAAGCATCTTTGTTATTTAAACTTTTAGCTCTGTAACAGAATAAAAAAAATGAAAAGAGAATTTATCAGAATCTGTTGCATGCAGCTGAAGCTGCTCAATGCAACTAAATAGAATGTGAAATTTTTAAAAGGTATGAAAACAACTAATGGGAACTAGCATAAAATTTTGGGAATTTGAACAAAGTCTGTACTTTAATTAATAATACTGTATCACATGTTAATTTCCTGTTTTTTTTTTTTTTACAACAACATAGTATTTCTCAGAATTGGATCAAAAGTTTCAAGCCTCATTATTTTTTTTAATCACTAAGATAACTAAGATAATACATTTTCTAGACTTTTAGTAGTAATACTAGATGGCAGAATAAATGGAACTATTATCAAAATTTTTAGTGAATTATTCTGTTAGAAATATTTACTAATTTTCCTTGTTATGTATTCTTAGATGGGCTTCCTAGATGGCTCATCAGTAAATTATCCACCTGCAGTGCAGGAGACCCAGGTTCAATCCCTGGGTCAGGAAGATGTCCTGGAGAAGTAAATGGCAACTCATTTCACTATTATTGCCTAGGAAATCCCATGAACAGAGAAGCCTGGTGGGGTATAGTCCATGGAGTCACAAAAGACTCGGACACAACTTATAGACGATACAACAACAACAACGACTCCTTAGATCCTCCCATCATTTAAAGGTAAACATTCAATTTCCAGAAACATGAGGTTTTAAAAGAACCTTTGATATTAGTTTCTCATGGAAATGCTTTCTTCTCTGCAATCACCCCCTGTGCTTTCTCAGTCTTTTAAGTTTCCTGAGGCTTTCAGTGGTTAAGTCAACGATCTCTTGGTGAATGTCACATTGCACTTGCAGTTGTGTGGGTTATTGTCAAATATCTTTTAATATTGATTTCTAGCATAATTCAACACTGATAAGAGAAAAGACTCAGTATGATTTCAATTCTTTTATACCATGAAATTTTTTCACCTTTTTTTTATGCCCCTGGACATGTTCCAGTGTCTTCTGGTTTATAGTCTATGGGAACTTGAATAGAATTTGCATTTCACTGTTGTGTGAAAATTGTATAAATCTTTATTATATTGAATTGGGTAATAGTGCTTTTCAGGTCTACTTTGTCCTTCTACTTTTCTGCCTCTTAATTCTATTATTTTTTGAGAGCTTGATATTGAAACTCCAAATAAAAATCTAAATTTATCTGTTTAAAAATAATTGTAATATATAGTGGAACTATATGTAATTTTGCTCTGTATTTTCTAAGTCTCTTGTAAATGAGCTATCACACTTTCATAATTAAAAAAAGATAAAGACTAACTCTACCAAATGTTGTTGAGGATGTGAATTAACTGAACTTTTATACATTGCTTTCCTTCTCCAGGGGATTTTCCTGACCCAGGAATGAAACCCATGTCTCTTACATCTCCTGCGTTGTGGGTGGATTCTTTACCAGTGATGCCACCTGGGAAGAAGTGTAACACTCTTCAAAGTGTAAATGAAGGGTCTAGTCTTTTCTCCATCATCAAAGAGCTTATAGAGTCAGAGTCTGGCACCAGGATAGGGGCAAGGATGTCTAGAGAAGGCGAAGCTTTGGAAAGGTTTGAAGTAGATAGTATCCAGGGACAAAACCGGAAATGATATGAAAAGGCGAATGAAATTTCAACATGGCAGAAAGGCAAAATCATACATAAGTCAACAAGATAGATAACAGACACCAAGCCACACAAGATGCTTCAGAGCAGTGGGAAAAAACTAGAACCTGGAGAATTTTATGGTGCAGAACTCTGTGGTGTTTTCCAACTCATGCTATAATTGTAAGGAAATTAAGAATAATCCCAGTTGGTGCAGGGACAAGGTCAGTGAAACTGGTGTTGTTGGTTATAAACCTTCACATAGGTTCCCACCAAGCATGATCAGATGGTCCCAGAGATTAGTTAAGCACCCTTAATAAATGGTGTCTCTACTCAGCTGACTCAATGGACATGAGTTTGAGCAAACTCCAGGAGGTAGTGGAGGGCAGAGGAGACTGGTGTGCTGCAGTCCGTAGGATGGTAAAGAGCTGGCCACAACTTAGTGGCTGAACAACAGTAATAACAACAATCACATTACGCTTTGTTGCTTTTGTTTAAAACACTTCATTGCCTATGTTAAACATTTTTTCTTTGTAATTCCATTTCTTATTTCACAGGGAAATTTTAATTCTCATGAAAAATATGAAAAGCTGTTATTTTATCAGATACATCTCATCTCCCTTTGCATCTAAACATCCATGTTCCTCAGGCCATCCTGTTTCCATCATCAACTCATTTCCACATGTTTTTTTGTACTTTGTCATATTGTTAATCATTGCCATCAACAGTCAGAGATAATATCATTCATGTTTATGATTTTTATGAATGGTTTGGATTTATGAAGATAAAAGTCACAAACACTGGTACTCTAAATATAGACATTATATTATATAACAATTTAATCATAATTTTCTTCTAACATTTTAAAATGAAAATAAATTTTTATATGTGAAGGTGCATGTATAATATTTATTTTTTCATTAACCTAACTTGGAGGCACACGTTTCTACAAATCCTTATAGTTCTCATAAGAACTATACCTTTGCATTAAGTTTTGAGACTGAAAGTGTGAATCCTCCAACTTTATTCTTCACTTTTCAGATTTTTGTTTTGTTTTGATTATTTGGGATTTCTTGCAATTCCATATGAAACTTCTCTACAATTTCACACAAATTTTAGTATTTGCATTTCAATTTTTGCATAAAATGGCTTTTGATAAAGATTGCATTAAATATGCACTCTAGGGGATATTGTTATCTAATTATATTAAGTCTACAAGGCTATGAATACAGGATACGTTTATATTTACCTGTGCTCAGTCTCTTCATTCATGTCTGACTCTATGCAACCCCGGAGACTGTAGCCCACTAGGCTCCTTTGTCCAAGGGATTCTCCAGGCAAGAATACTGGAGTGGGTTGCCACTTCCTCCCCCAAGGAATTTTCCTGACCCAGGAATCAAACCTGTGTCTCCTGCGTCTCCTGCATTGCAGGCAGATTCTTTACCTACTGAGTCACCCTATGTCTTCTTTAATTTCTTTTAGTGATTTTTTTTTTTAGTTTTTAGAGTACAGTTCTTCCACCACTTTGGCAAATTTATTCCTAAGTGTTTTATTGTTTCTGATGGTACTGTCAACATACTTATTTTCTTAATTTTGTTTTAAGACTATTAATTCCTAGT